GTGTGACTCCCTGAAAATTCTGCCATACTACATAGTTCGTTCCAGAGCACGGCCTCGTGGAAATACCGTATTTTTTCAGCTAATATCCAAAGAAAATTTGACAGACGTGCAACCGCATGATAAGCTCATGCGTTATTGTTAATATTTTTAATTTTGAACCTCAGACTGCAGACTCCTCATTTTGCTGCGAACTACCTCTTTTTGAGGGTAGGGAAGTCCGTTGGACTCCTGTGTTCAAAAGTTAATTTCTACCCCTGTGAATGTGATACTAACCTCAAGCATAACAAACTGATGACATCAGTGTACGTGCACTAGAATGTACCTAATACCTGATAGTTATACCATTGACATTGTGTCTGCATCGTACTCATTCAATTTCCAATTACTATTATCTCTGGCTTGAAATGATCTTACTGGAGTGAATTAAGTCCTCAGACCTTAAGTTTGCTATTGAGCTATCATACGCATTACAGTCATATGGCTTTCACAAAGGGTGGCTCACAGGTAATTTTCGGCTGTAGGCCCTACGTGAACATGATAAAAATTGCCAACTATGCGTTGACCACGTGTGACGTAATTAAGTCATCCGTCTGCGCTGACTTAAACAGTAAGAATACAATTACGAGTTTAAGGTATTGTGTAACTAAGAAGAGTTAGACTAAACGCAAGACCAAGACTAGGGACTAGACTGTATAGTCAGTGTAGTCTGTGTCGACAGAACTCTGAACTCACTGCCATAGTGTGCTTGTCCTGCACCCACTCTGCCATGATCTGTACCATCAACGCTGCCACGACCTGGACTGCCTATGTCGGGTTGTCCCTCGTCGTTGTCCACATGACTCGACATTTTTTCGTATTTATCCAAATTACTGTGAAACATGCAAACCGGACGAAAACGTCAGTGACAGACAGTGTCACACAACAAGTCACAACACAACACGACACGACACAACTCAAAATCTCGGAAGCAGCACGTTGCAACTCGAGTTAACATAATAACAACACTCAACAGTTACAGTGTTGTCAACACGGTGAAAAGCTTGTTGAAAACTTAATTCATTCACGACACGCTCCCACGCATACATGAAGTCGTAGATCTATACATGTACACATATTAAAAACTGCTAAACACTGTCCACAGATACCTAATAATCCAGACAAGAACAGGTCATCATGCCGTTGTAGCGGATATGGCGGGTCCTTTTGAAAGATAAACAAAACAAGTGAGCGCCGATCATCGTCAGCTCTAGATGAGCACCTTACTTTTCGTTCGGGTGATTGGCCACTCTGACATAGTTTCCCGTATACAAAAATATAAATGTTCATTGGCTCGTCTAGCACAGGTTTCCCGGATGTAATATGTCTGCGCCCATTTGTGTCAAGCATATCAGGCATGTTTATTTGACCATTTTTATTTTATAAAGCTACACTACAGTCGCGGTATTAGAATCACGTTACTTAGACAATATTTAGGAAATGACTTATTAATCATTATTACTAAGTGGAAATGTAAAATATATAATGTTGCTGGCAAGTGACAATGTCAATGACAGTGACACTGACACTGACAGTCACTGTCACTCTCACTCTCAGTCTGACACTCGTCACACTGTCATTGACATTGTCACTTGCCAGCAACATTATATATTTTACATTTCCACTTGGTAATAATGATTAATAAGTCATTTCCTAAATATTGTCTAAGTAACGTGATTCTAATACCGC